ATGGAGAGGAATGTAATCACTGTGATGAAACATGTTGTATATAAAACTGATGATCTGCCCTGTAAATGTTCACTAATTCCACAATCAAAACTTAAAGAGGAAATTAAAGAAGTGGCTGGTGGGTTTGAACCACCAACCTGTGGCTAGCAACAGTGCTTATCCTGCAGTGCACACCACGGCTCCAAGGCTATATTGTTGAAGTGCCGTTGAGTCAGTTCTGACCCATAACGACCCTATAGAGGGTTTCCAAAGCTGAAAATCTTTATAGGAGCAGAAAGCCTCATCTTTCTCCTGCAGTGCAGCTGGTAGTTTCGAACTGCTGACCTTAAGGTTTGCAGCCCAATTCATAACTACTACGCTACCAGAGCTCCTTTTAGAGTGCATATAAAACTCCAATATCAAAATTAATGCAGTCTTTGCACTCTCCTTTGTTCATTTTTCTTGAGAGTTTAGGTGGTTTTTTAATAGATTTATCTGATGTCTTTAAATATGCTGGCATTCCCTGAACAGAGACCAGTGATTTCCAGGGAGTGCTAGTCATGTGCTGAATAGCAGGGGAGAAGCCAATCTTCACAAGTAGGCCATAAAAATCACATTCAAATTAACTAAGTCTGTCCTTAAGTAAAACATTAACATGACCACACAGCATTGTAAACGCAAGCACACAAACATGTATTATTAGAGTTAGTCTCTCATGGTCAAGAAAAGGGCCAAATAGAACAGAATAAACCCAATCCAGAATACCATGCACTTGTGCTACCCTTTAAAAGGGCATCGGGGTACATACTCAGAAGCTGCTCATCTCTCTGTTTTCGCCTCGGCTGCACGTAAGTAGCGTTAAACGAATCTGTGATAAGTAGAGAAGGTCTGCTTAACATTTCCAGGGAACATCCATTTAAGTGGCTATAAAAAAACAATGTTTTAAAAAGAATATTTTATACCACTTCAAATAAACAGTGATAGGTTATCTTAATTAAAATAAGCACTCTTCAAAGAGGCTCCTTCTTTCCCTAACTGTAAAAGATACATATGCACATTGATTAGAATACCTGGAAAAGTCAATGAGAGCCTTATAGAACAGCACCACTCAGAAACAGTCACTATGATATTTGGGAGTATTCCTTTCTGTACATATAAATAACATGTCTAGAGCTACACAAATACATTTCACAAAGTTGATATCCCAAATACATTTCACAAAGTTGATATCCCACGTATAGTCACATTTACTTCTATGTCCTGGTATTTTCCCCATGACATTAAAATTTTTTTCTACACCTAAATTTTAACAGTTGTAAAAAACTTTGTATTGTATCCATAGTATATTTATTTGATAGTTTCCTTTAAGATGACATTTAGATTACATTTACCCCATTATAAATAACCTTTCAAAGAGCGTTTTTGCAAAATGCTTTAATTGCATTTGTTTGTTTCTTTGAAACATATTCAGAAATATATTTCCTGGAATATACAATAGTTTTTTAAAACATTCACTGTTAAATGTTTTAAATTAGTCTAGAGTCCTGGTTTATAAAATAACTTTACTTTTAATTTTCCCTCCAAAAGATAAAATATCACCAATTGCATTTCCTTTAGTTTTTGTCTTGATATACCTACATCTCCCTCTTGTGGTTGAAGTCAACAGCATAAACAATTTCTTCTTCTCCGTCTTTGACTATTTTCCATATTGTTCCACCTATCATATGACCAGCTGGTAGAGGTGTGATAGACAAGCCATGTCCTTTGCCTATGTCAACAAGATAATGACAACAGTCAGATTTCTTTTTAAATCCTCAATAAGGATTACTTACTTTTAAGTTATTTTTAATAGGTAGTATTAGACTCCTGGTGTGGCACTGTAGTATCAGCACTGGACTGCAAACCACAAGATCAGCAGTTCAAACCTACCACCTGCTCCTCAGAAAAACTGTACAAGGTCCCAGTGAGTCAGAACCGACTCAACGGCACTTAACAACATTTGCAAGGATACAAAGGTAAAAATATATACAGTGAAAAGTAAGTCTCCATCACCTCCCCCAACTACCACATTGTTGGACCAATTTTTCAATGCCAGGACCTACATGGAGTCCTAGTGTGGCGCTGTGAGTTAATATGCAAGACAGATTGTAAAGCCATTTGAACTACAAGGTCAGCGGTTCAAACTCACCAGCTGCTCCTCAGAAACCCTATACAGGGTCGCTATGGGTTAGAATTGACTCAACGGCACTTAACAACAACAACAGGGCCTATATTTCTGAAAATCCCTAATACAAATTCTCTCGTTTATAAATACATATATTTTATATCTAACCCAATTAAATGAAAAGCTTTTTAATGTCTAATGCTTAAATTCAGTTATTTTTCACTTCTGCTGTAACTGCCCTTCACATAGTTTTTGCTGTTGTGTGTTCTTGTTGTTAAGTGCCATTGAGTCGCTTCCTACCCTGTATAGGGTTTCCAAGGAGTGGCTGGTGAACTCGAACTGCCGACCCTGTGGTTCAAGCAAACCTTGCAGTTCAGACTTGAACCTGTAGCACCTCACCAGAACTCCTCACGTACTTTAAAGCCCTTTGTTTCTTCCAATCACTGCATCTACCCATTTGTGCTAAGTGTGAGCTCCAAGGAGGAGGGTCTGCTCAGAGTCCCCTATACGTATTATATCCAGTAAACACTGAAAAAGCTCTCCCAAGTGACATGTGAAAAGGCCTTGGCTGTCAACATTTTCTTAAGTGTTTAATCTGAAATACTTAAAAACGCAGATAACAAGGGGGAAGTCCCGAGTTCTACATCAAGGCAGAAAATGACAAATTTTGATTCTCCAGACCACAGTGTCTATAATTCTTACTATAATTCCTCCATAGCATTTTTTAGTAATTAAACCCCATTAGTCCATTAGTGACGCTGTGGGCTAATGCATCAGACCGCAAAGTCATTTGAACTGCAAGGTTAGTGGTTCAAAGCTTACCAGCTTCTCCTTGGAAATCCTACACAGGGTTGCTAAGGGTCGGCATTGACTTGATGGCACTTAGTAACAACAAGAAGTCCATTAGTACTGGTGTAGCACTGTAGGGTAAGCACTGGACTGCTAACCACGAGGTTAACAGTTCAAACCCACCAGCAGCTCCTTAGAAATCCTATACAGCAGGGATGGGCAACGTTTGGCACACAGGCCATATAATGTCCACAAAATCATTTGGTCTGGCCTTGCCAAGGCAACCAAAGTTCCAGTCATCACACTGTTGTTGTTGTTAAGTACTGTAGAGTCGGTTACGACCCACAGTGACCCTTTATAGGGTTTCCATTGTTGTTGTTATGTGCCGTGGAATCGGTTCCGACCGATAGCAACCCTGTACAGGGTTTCCAAGGCTGTAAATCTTTACGGGAGCAGAAAGCCTCATCTTTCTCCTGCGGAACAGCTGGTAGTTTCGAACTGCTGACCATGAGGTTCGCAGCCCGATTCTTAACCACTATGCTACCAGAGCTCCTTAGGGTTTCCATTAGGGGTAAGTTAATTAAATGTTTGACCAAATATAGCAGGCTAATTTTTAAGTTGATAATTTTGTATGGCCTGTAGAAAATAAGGTTCCCCAACAGGGTCGCTATGGGTCGGAACTGACTCAATGGCACTACACAACAACAACCCCTGCTATACAGTGTCACTAGGAGTTGGAACCAACTCAACAGCACTTAACTACAACCGTCCAATTATTTACTACTGGAAACATCTTTGTACCTTTCAAATTCACAATCTGAGAGAATTTTAGCTGCTGTATTTTATCAAAGGCTGCATCCACATCATCTAATGTGAAGAGAGTGAAATCTTCTGTATTGTGTCGAGACTAAAAAAAGAACACACAAAGAAAGGGTTAAAAATGAATGCTGAAAGAGTGATAAAACTGAGAGGGGAATAAAACAGATCTCTGAAATTACCTGATAAAGATCATACATGAACATCTGCCCCATTTTATACACAGGGATGGTTGCATAGATGGCACAATTCAGGCCCAATTTCCCAACAGCATACGGGAGCGCCCCGAGATGGAGAGGATCAGGGTGAGACAAGAGCACGGCATCAATCTGGTGAACGTGCCTAGGAGAACACAATCAGGGTGACCACATTCCTGAACCCCCTTTCAAGGACAAAGGCAGGACAGTCAAAATAGATTTATCAAAATTCTATTTCCTCTTTAATAGTCTGGATATAGACTATGCTGGGGTAAAAAAGCAAAACTAAGAGCTAAAATTATGACAGCTTCAAATGTCAATTATTACTACTCCTGCCCAGCACATTGATCAAAACTACAGCTAAAAACTGCATCTAAAAATCCAGTGTCTAGACACATAAAAAGGAGCTCTGATAGCTAAGTGGGTACAAACTGGCTACTAACTAACTGCAAAGTGAGACATTCAAATCTACCAACCATCCCTCAAGAAAAGATGAGGCTTTCTTCTCCCGTAAAGTTTTACAGTTTCAGAAACCCTAAGGGTCACTATGGGTCAGAACCAACTTGAAGGCACATAACCATCACCACCACCATCTTGCATACTATGAAATTCAATTAACTCAGCTTAGAATTTCACAAATTCTTAAGAAGATACATAATCTGTCACTTATTATATATTTTTGCCTCAGTTTTTAAAGATAGTGACTGAAAACATATTTGTCACAGGAAAAAAAAGTTTAACTACCCAGAGAAACAGTGACAAAAGACGTTAACCAAAGAATGTGTTTTGCTTCCAGTTCTAATTTGTTTAAAGGTTTAAGTATTCTTTCCTTCCATAATTAGTATGATGCTACAAATATAAACTAATGTTGCTTTTGCAGGACACTTTTGTATCTCATTGCCTTTATTCTGAGGAACAATTCTCAATGTTTAGCACCAAATGACACAGAAAGTAGACAAAATGGGATCTGATAACCAAACTTTCACACACAAGTGTTTTCTCCTCAATTCTTAATGAACTTAATCTTACTCTTTCCTAAAGTTAGGGTGCAAGAATTTATCAACATTCCATTAGTCAAGTTAACAATTAACTTCAGATTTTGCTGAATTTTATAAACACAGCTTATAAATGAAGCAAAAAAATTGCAAGTTAAATGGTCACTGAAAACGAAAACACTATAACATCACAAAAGACGTTGATGTGAAAAACTGCAAATATGAAAAGCAACTTACTTCCTCAGGGAATCTATAATATCCACAGAAAAGTGCTCATCCCAGCCACAGTCCAACAGAAATCTAAACTCATCAACTTGGAGCAGATAACAAAGCGCAGACTCTTCTTGGACCCCCGAGAGGGTAGTTAATTTGATAATAGACGTCATTTTATTTCTGAGGGAGGTCCAACAACAACAGTCAGAAAGGTTATTTCAAAATAGAAACACAATTAAACATAAGAAGACAGATTAAGACATAAAACTGACATATTGACATAATTCTTATCAAAATTTTAAGTGCAAGAAATCCCATAAACATAGAAAGCAAGCATTTTAAAGACCCATTTACCATCACTGCTATGGTTTAAAATGCCAACTATAATCTGCTCTTGTTTAAATAACTATCCTTCAATGGATCCCCGGTACGGTTTAGTAGGTGAGCTTTGGATAATCAGAGACCCAAATCTGAGTCCACTCTTATGTAATTTTTGACAATTATCTTTGCTTCAACTATATATCCCAGTCTATTGATGTGACTATTAACATATAGGCAAAAGGAACGCTGGAAGATTTAAAAGACTGTGAAAACTACCTAGAGCAGAAACTAGCTCATCCAAGTTCCACAATAAATAAAAGTTGCTGAATTCATGAACTCATCTTTCAAAATGATGTTATTCTTTATTTTGCTTAAAAACAATTTGGGGGGGGGGAATTGCATTACAATGATTAGTTTATATATAGTCTTTCACTTCTATTAGATCCCCTTGAGAATCTAATAAAAACCTATGGGTCCCTCCTCTTCCCTTTAATGCTCAAAACAACAAAAATAAACAAACACATCCGTGTGGAGAAAGTCACATTCATTTAGGGAGCTTAAGAAGAGTTATACTGAATTGTGAACAACTAACAGAGGTGAACTAAAATGAGTGCCGATGTGGGGCCGCAGGGTAAGCACCGGACCGCAAACGGTTCAACCCACCAGCTGCTCCTCAGAAACCCTCTATAGGTATTTAGCAACAACAAAGGTGTTCAATACATATTTGATGGTTGGAATGCCAACTTTGCATATTTCAAGAAGGTAAACCTGTCTATTGGGACTTGGGACCTAAAAGGACTGAGCGCTATTAAACAGACTTTATAAACATATTCATTATCAAAGTGCAACACAACATTTCAGATTTTAGCTCCTTAAAATCAACGAGGCTTTCCTGATAACTTCACTATTTAAAAGGCATTTATATGTGTAGGCAGGAGTGAAGACCTTTGCCGGGCCTTTCTTTTGTGGGGCCACTGAGTGGGTTAACTACAGTAAAGGTTCACCCATATGTGGTACCCAGTGCCTCCATCACTTCAAAGTCTTCCTCAATCTCAGTTACATTTGACAGTATCACTCTATTTCCCTTGTTGTTAAGTGCCGTCGAGTCGGTTCCGACCCATATCAACCCTGTACAGGGTTTCCGAGGGTATAAATCTTTATGGGAGTAGAAAGCCTCATCTTTCTCCCGTGGAGCGGCTGGTAGTTTCGAACCACTGACCTTAAGGTTCACAGCCTGATTCGTAACACCTTTTATTTTGTTTGCTAAATGTCATTGAGTTGGTTTCTGAGGCCTGATCTCTCTCTGAGTGGCTGGTGGGCTCAGTGCTCTCTATAACTGCTGATTTCTTTGTTTGCTGTGTCTGTCCCTTTCTCTCATCCTGACCCCTACTAGAATGTGGTGTTGCTAAGCGCCGTTGAGTCGGTTCCAACCCATAGCGACCCTGTATATATATGTATATATATATACATGTGTGTACATATGGAGAGGTGTATATATATATATACATACACATATGCTAAGTGCCACCATGTGGCTGATGAGTTTGAATTGCCGACCTTGTAGTTCAAACCAACCTTGTGGTCTAGTGCTTTATCCCACAGTGCCACATCAGGACTACACACATATATGTGTATATATATATAATATATAAATATATACACACACATATATATTCATACACTGTATATACACACAACATATATACATATAGATATATATATATAGATGTAGACATCTACATATACTTATGGAGTCCTGGTATGGAGCTATAGGATAAGCACAGGACCACAAGGTCAGTTTGGACTGCAAGGTTGACAGTTCAAACTCACCAGCTACTCCTTGGAAACCCTATACAGGGTTGCTATGAGTAGGAACCAACTGGACAGTACTTAACAACAACATACACATATGGTATGGCACTTTGGGATCAGCACTAGACTGTAAACCACAAGGTTGGTCTTTGGGCCTACCAGCCTGGGGGACCTGTACAGGGTCATTGTGGGTAGGAGCAGACTCGAGTCGGTTATATACATATATATATAATTTGCTGTTGTTGGGGGGAAAAAAAAACTGACAGAAAAGGCCAACTGAACAGAAACAGGCCAGATAAATGAAAGGCCTTTGAATTTTGGACTCAATTTCTACAAATAACAGAGAAGCATTTTAAGACCAAGTAGAAAAAGATGACAAGCTACAGATAATTATGTTTTAGAAAAATTAGCTGTTGTCCATGATTGCGCTGGACGGCAGGTCGGTTTCACCTGCAAGGGTGGTGGTTCAAACTCCCCAACTGCTCCTCGGAAACCCTCAGAAAGATCCCTGCACATATTCTCTCTTGCTCAGAAATCTCTGAAAGCCTTTTACTGTTTGAGGACAAAAAAACAAAAAAAACCCGCCTAAACTGGCAATGGAAAGCTTCAGCAGGATGCCTAAACATCACTGCTTACCACATCCGTCTCAAGAGCCGCATCAAATCCCACATCCTAACCAACCCTCTCACGGGTAGTACGGACTTAGAATACTGCTGCTCTGGCCAACAGAAATACGATACAAGTCACAGGCAACTAAAAATCTTGTCACAGCCACAATGAAAAATGAAAAGATACAGATGAAATAAGTTTACTGGACTGTAAAGTCAGTTTGAATCACAAGGTCAGTGGTTCAAACCCACCAGTCACTCCTTGGAAACCCTACAAATGATCGCCATGAGTCAGAACAGACTGGACACTTAATAACCTAAAAACAACAACCCAATATGAGGGCATCCAAAGTATTACTTCTTTTTCGTTTCTTTTTTTACTGTCTTCAAAATCTAGTGTCTTTTACATTTACATCTCAATTCGAACCAGCCACATTTCTAGTGCTCAAAAGCCCATGTTGTGACCAATACCTGGTGTAATAAAGCGGCTCTAGACTCTACATATTAGAATCAATGCTTGAGACTTTAAAGGCATTATGATTTGTCACTCCTAAAGTACAGGTTGGCACCATTCTGTTTTCTAGGTACAGGTCTTAGACTTGCTCAATTAGCTCAGTGGTTACGAGTAGGTTAGTTAGCTAACCTCAAGGCCAGCAGTTGGAATCTACCAGCCATTCCGAGTGAGAAAGATGAGGCTTTTTGCTCCAGTAAAGATTTACAACCTCGGAAACCCTCTGCAGGGTTGCTAAGGAGTCAAAACCAACTTCACTGCATTACCACCACTAACCACTTAGACTCCTAGACTAAAACTGTGGCATTGCCCTCCTACTATCAAATTAACATTTCAGAAATAGCTCGTATTCTTAAACTGAAGATAAACCAAACCCAGTTCTAGCTCATAGCAACTCGATAGCATATAGGGTTGGTATAGGGTAGGGTTTCCAAGGCTATAAACCTTCATAGAAGCACGCAACTGTTGGTGAATTCCAACTGCCAACCTTCCAATGAGCTATAGGACACTGAACCGCAGCCCTACCAGGGTTCAAATCACACTGCCCTACCTTAAAGAGCCCTAACAATATAGTGGATTAAGAAACGGGCTGCAAGCTACAAAGTCAGCATTCAAATCTACCAGCCTCTATGTGGGAGAAAGATGAGGCTTTCTGCTCCAATAAAGACTCACAACCTCAGAAACAGTATACAGGACAAGATGGAACCTATTTAGCAGCACACCACCACCACCTTGTTCCAAGTTGACCCTAGACACAACTATCAGAGAGACTATCCTCAAAACCAGTATCTGCACACCCCTCCATGCACGAAAGATCCCTGGGTTTCCTGGTAACAAGTGAAGGCCACCTAAGCACCTAAGATGGAAATCAAGGTCCTTCACAGTGATAACCTACCTCTTGCTTCACCAACTGCTCTTGAAATACCGTTCAAACACATTTATTGTCCCCCTCTTACTACCCAAGGGAGCATGGTGGCTACAGAGGATAGATAAACACTCGACTGTGAACCACAGGATCGGCAGTTCAAGCTCACCAGTCATTCTGCTGGAGAAAAATGAGGTTTTCTGCTTCAGCAAATTTAAAGCCTTGAAGACCCTATTCAGGGTCACTGAGTGGGAATCCATTCAATAGCACTTAACAAGAGCTTACTATCCCAAACTTCTCAACCTTCTGCATCGCAGTACTTGCCACCTCTCCAGAAATGGCCTCCTCTTGAGTTTAGGAAATTCTTTCTGACCCTTCATGACACAACTGAATTATTTATTCCTTTATACCCAGAAAAAAGTATTTTAACCTCGCACAAAGTTGTTATTGTTAAATGCCATCGAGTACGTTCCCAGCTCATAGCAACCCTGTATCGGGTTTCCGAGCAGCAGCAGGTGGGTTTGAACTCCTGACTTTGTGGTTCAGAGTCTACTGCTGATCCTATAGCACCAGGCACAACACAGGATCAAAAAAATATTCAATGAGTATTTAATATGTCTTCCAAAGTGTTCATCCTGGTATCACCAAGACCGAGTGCTGTGTCCCCAAACCAGCATAAACGTGTCCGGAAAGACTGAATCCTCCTGAGACCATACATTGCCCAGCTGTGATTTTGGCTGGAGTAACTGTCCTGGCGTGGATCTGTAGCTTAGTGCAATGGGCTGCAAAGTCGGAGGTTCACGCTCACCAGCCGTTCCTTGGAAACGCTATACAGGGTCCTCGTGGGTTGGAACCAACTGGACGGCACTTAACAACTTCCTTTTAAGTATCTATCAGTTTCTTACTCTCTGAATAATGACCCTGCATGTTGATATTAGGAGCCAAGGTCAGCAATTAGAAACTAGCAGCCGTTACTCAGGAGAAAGAGCAGGCTTTCTGCTACGGTCAAGATTTACACCCTATGCAGGGTCACTGTGTCGGAACCGACTCCAAGGCACATAAGCACCAGCACCAGCGTGGCCTTCTAGTGTTGGCACTGTAGGCTTAGCAAAAAAAAGGTCAGCAGTTCAAACCCACCAGCTGCTCCTTAGAAACCCTACTGCCTCTATAGCATTAACAACAGTGTGACGCAGTAGGATAAGCACTCTAGGATAAGCACTCGACAACAAGGTCGGTTTGATCGGCGGTTCAAACACACCAGCCGCTCCTCGGAAACCCTACACAGAGTCGCTATGAGTCGGAACCCCCTCTGCTTATTAGCATTAACAACATGCTGATAATGATCATTAAGAGGAGCTCTGCAAATTTAAAGGAAAAAAAAAACAAAAAGGAGTGAGTCCGGGTGGGTACTGAGCTCACAGGGTGCGAATTTCATTAGACTTCCCGCCAATTCCACATCAAGGGAATGGCTAAGACGGAAGGGATGAACAACTGAAAACTCTAGTTCGGCTGATCAGCCTCGTCCACCTAGGAGGTTTGGGAAATTGCAGTGATGTGCGTGGAGGCCCTCGGGGGCGATGGAAGCAGAGCGTGGAGGGCCCAAATAGTCTATAGAAAACGAGGTAACATCTTAAAGACCCTCGGAGTCACTGAACTAAAGGACGCCTAATTTGTGCCCAGTGCTTAGTAGACTCGGGGTCTCCGATCGCGACATGACGAGAAGATCCCAAGACAGAAGACGGAAGACTCAGCCTTCACGAAGCGGAAGCGCTAAAGGTGGCGCCGGGTTAACTCCTCCAACGCCGACACAGCCGAGAGAACCGGCAGTAGAAAAGGACCCTGGGAAGGAACGGCAGGCTGCCACGAAAGAACCGCGAGTTTCAGACCCGAGGGGAAGTCACATCTCTTTCCCTCGCCGGGTACTTCTGCCAGGAACAACCAGGACCGGTTCCACCGACACGCCGAGGGAGTCTGGATGGGTGTTAGAGCCAGACTTCCCCGGAGGGCCGAGGATGCCCCCTCCCCCATCCAAAGGCTCACTCCTTCTGCCCTCACTTGCCTCTTCAGTCCTCCCCCAACGTCGTCCACTGCCCTTCCCAACCCCTAGTCGAATCCAGGTTCAAGTGTGAAAAAAGCTGGTGCCCGTTTAGCAGCATCTGTGCCGATCGGCTGCCAAGAGCACCTGAGTGGAGGCCGCCATTTTGAACGGAGACGAAAGACTGAGGTGGGGGCGGGAGGGGGGGAAAATGGAGAGGGGCGGGGGAGAGCCTGGATCAGACCATCTTCGGGGAGGGGGAGAACAAAACTCTAAGAAGGAGAAAGCACTTACACCAACAAATTCTCTTCACCTTGGACTGATATTAATTCAGCAGTTATATAGGCTGTTGACCTTAAAATAAATGTCAGAAGAGTCAAATATTAAAAGAGAAAAGGAATATGACCTCCAGGCACCACCCCTCTTCTCCGTACAGGCGCGGGGAATGGACGAGTCCGAGGGCGCAGCTTCCGCCGGCGCCAGTGGCTGAGCTCGAAGCTGCCCTTGGTCGTGGAGTCGTAGTTGCCATCCGGGCCACAGGTGCGTGCGGGCCGGGTCGCTATCGTGCAGACGGGGAGGGGGGGTCTCTATGAAAATGCTCGGCAGTGAGGGTGGAGATAGTGGGGTGGCTGGGCCTCCCCGGGACAGGGGCGGCTGGGCTTCCGAGCTACGGAAACAGCAGGGGAAGCGAGAAATCGCGTCCTTTACTGGCGGACGCCTGTGTTCACGTTTCTCGGCTGGCAGCTCTTGGGAGGGGAGCTCTGAGACTGTCAATAAGTGTCATAAAGACTACAGATGTCTTTCTAGATCACGTCGTGATCTGCCATTCCCCGGCTGCCGAAAAAAAGACCATAGCCCGGGTGGTGCTGCCCCTGCCAGCGACCAACTCAAATTCGGCTAAAGTCCTGTCTCCTCTTTAGAATTGGAAACTCACCTCACTCTCTTCTACGGAATATGCACGTACCCTTTAAAAAAAAAAACAAAAAAAAAAAAACTCAGTGTTTAATTTGTGCCTGGTTTCTAGGGAGTGTGTATCTTTAAAAGACCATTTTCTGACTTCGAGTCCAGATCCTCCAAGTTCTTAGACGTGCACTTTCTGAATATTCTGTGGTATAGGCGTTAGGCTGCTAACCAGAAGGTCCTACAAACCCAAACCCATCAACCCTCGGCGGAAACACGATGCTGTTGTTGCACAGAAAGAGTTTGTTTCAGAAGCCAGTGGGGGGGTGTGGGGGGGGGAATGACTATATATTTATAGGATTGCTATGAGTCGGAATCAACCGATGGCAGTGGATTGGGTTTGGTTTTGCGTTTGTGAATACTAAGATATAAAGGGCTGTGGAGATCAGTTGCAAAGAATATTGATCTACATTCCGTTGTACTTTGGGCCTCTTTGGTCCAAATGTCTTTCTCCAGAGAAGCGTCCCTCTTGATAACATGTCCCAAGTATGAGAGACAAAATCTCTCCACCTGGATTCTAAGGACCATTCTGGTTGTACTTCTCCAACACAGATGTTTGTTCTTTTGGCAGTCCGTGGTATTTTTAGTATTCTTCTCCAACACCATAACTCAAATCCATCAATTCTTCCACAGTCTTCCTTATTCACTGTCCAACCTTAACTTGCATATGGGGTTACTGAAAATAACCATGGCTTGGGTCAGGGTGCACCGTAGTCCTCAAACTGACATCTTTGTCAGAGGTCTTGTGCAGTAGATTTGCCTAACGCAGTGTTTGATTTCATGACTGCTACTTCCATGTGTGTTGATTGTGTATCCAAGCAAAATGAAGTCTTTGACAACGTCAATCATTTTTCCACTTATGATGGTACTGATTGGTCCACTTGTGAGGATGTTCATTTTTTTCACATTGAGGTGCAATTCATACATGACTTTAATCTAGTGACTTAAAAAAAATACTAAATAGAGTTTATGTTTTGTTTGTTTTTAAAGAAGTTACCCAAACCAAAAATCCATCAAGTCAATTCCAACTCAGTGACCCTATAGAATAGAAAAAAAACTGTGCCTTAAAATATCTGAGACTATAAATCATTGTGGTAGCAAACAGCCACATCTTTCCCCACAGAACTGCTCGTGGGTTTGAACTGCTGGCCTTGTGGTTAGCAGCCCAACACTTAACCCACTGTGGGGTTAAGTGGGGATAAAATTGGGTTAAAGAAAACTGTTGTTATTGTTCCATGCTATCAAGTCAGTTCCGACTCATAGCAACCCCAGCATTGGGTTTCCAAGGAGCAGCTGATGAGTTTGAACTGCTGATTTTGCGGTTCAAACCGACCTTGAGGTCGAGTGCTTATCCTACGGCACCATACCAGGACTCAGATCCAAAGTGAGATTACTGTAAATATTTACCTCTATTTACTCTGAAAGATGTGTGCTTTACCATCACACTCCAGAGTACTAAACGGTCCAGGTAACTAATCCCAGCTCTGCCGCCTACTGCATGTGTGACCATAGACACGGTACTTACTCATTTGTGCCTGGATTTCCTCCTCTGAAAAAAACGTCTCAGGACCACTGGGGACATGTTATGACTTAATACCTGAAGAGTGACGTCGTGGGGATTATGAGTTGATGCAAATGAAAACTGCCCCACAAAGAGTGCAATGAAGAGTCAACCTGTTAGAGGTGGGCAAAGGAAAACTGGATCATTTTGGCATGAAAGGAGGATACACAATTACATGATTATGTACTGTTGTAGGGTAAGCACTGGACTGATAAGAACTAAGTCAGCAGTTCAAACCCACCAGCTGCTCTCAGAAACTCTATCCAAGGTCACTATGAGTTGAAACTGACTCTACAGCACACATCGACAGCAAGAGTCCATAAGATGAAAACAATTTTATTTTTTCCAAAGAAAATCATATTTATCTCCTGTTCTGAAGTGAAAAAAGCCAAAAACATTTTTTCTTGAGGATAATTATAATAAAGAAGCAATTTATTGTACGATGGCATGATAACATTTGCAATGGTAAATACAAGATGTTACATAGGCCTGCTGGTGTTAAGTGTTGTCACGTTGGTTCTGACTCAGTGACCCAGTATAGGGTTTCTGAGGAGCAGCTGGTGGGTTTGAACTGCCAACCTTGTGGTTCACATTCCAGTGCTAGTCCTAAGCACCACATCAGGAGTCCACATAGGTCTGTATCTGATAGTATGTATGTTAATGTGTCTCTGTGACAGACTAACAAATGGCAAATTAACACAAATCTAAGTAGAGCTAAAGATTTAACAGCCTCGGAAACCCTGTACAGGGTCGCTATAAGTCGGAACCGACTCCACAGCACTTAACAACAACAGATAGAGCTAAAGGAACTCTGATACCGTAGTGGTTACGAATCGGGCTGCTAACCTCAAGGTAGACAGTTCGAAACTACTAGGTGTTCCGCGGGAGAAAGATGAGGCTTTCTGCTTCTGTAAAGATTTATAGCCTCAGAAACCCTGTGCAGGGTTGCTATGAGTCGGAACCGACTCCACGGTACTTAATAACAACAAGTAGAGCTACATGGCATAGGCACACTCATGGATATTCCCTAGAATAATTTATTCTTTACTTTTTCCCCTTGTCCCCTCCTCTCTCATCTAAACCTTCTGAGACTTTTCTCACTGGCTGGGGTCCCAGTCCTCATTGTCCCTTCCCCATCAGATAAGGCTCCCTTATACCTTGGGCCAGATCATTTAAGAGTACTCAGGCGGAACCCATATGTAGACCAACAAGCAGGCATTCAAACAACAAGGGGATACTGCATGGTTTAAAATCCGGAATGATATATATATAGGTCAGGGTTGTGTCCTTTCACCATATTTATTCAATCTGTATGCTGAGCCAGAGCGCCCCCTGGAGGCCAGGATGGCCAAACTTCTCTCATACTTGGAGGGACCAGTCGCTGGAGAAAGATATGTTTGGTAAGGTGGAGGGTCAGAGAAAAAGAGGAAGACCCCCAGCGAGATGGATCGGCGAAGTGGCAGCCTCAGTGGGCTCAAGTGTGGCAACAACTGTGAGGTTGGCGCAGGACCGGACAGTGTTTTGTTCTGTTGTGTATAGGATCTCTATGAGTCAGTACTGACTCGATGTCACCTAACAACAACAATGCTGAGCAAATAATCTGAGAAACTGGACTATATGAAAAAGAACCTGGCATCCCAGAGTCAGTGACATAGCCAGAGAGGACTAGAGTGGAGAATGAAGCTTCCAGCAGATAAGAAGAGAGGACGTATGTACAGGAACACCCACACTTGCAGATAATACCCACTTGACCTGGCTTAAATGACTGGATGATTAGAGCTCAACTAGAAGAAGAAAGAAGAGGAAAAAAAGAGTAATCTGATACAATTTGATGGACTTGACCTACACCTATGGATGCAGTAGCTCAAAAGAGGGAATAAGTCCTTACAGCAAGAATCATTCCCACCCTCTCTGTGCACAGAGTAGACAGGGATGGGCAACTTGGACATTGGCTACCCAAAATGTGGGGCTACAAAGGCAAGAAGTATCTGGCTTACAAGCTTTCATGATGGAACCTAGATCCAGAGGGCGTGGAAGAAGGTAGAATCTCCACTGAGTAATATTCAATCTGTCTAGGTGGGGCTGATGAAAGGAAATGCAGATAGGTCTCTTGTGATACAATAGTGAATAATTTTATCAGGACTGATTGTGAGGGTTGGAAATGTAAAGGTAGACATTTTGTAGCAAGGATGGGAGTGACTAACTTTGCATTCTAGGAGTGGAGGTCCCTGGGCCCATCAAGATCCCGGAGAGCGGGACCTTACCCAGAGAAGCCGTGAAGCCAGAGATGGAGGCAGAGACTATGGCATGGAGAGATGGAGGAGCTGGGGACTTTAGATCCAGAGAGGGAGAGGGGCTATGTGCTGACGACCAGGGGTCAGACTTGTAGGGTATACCCTTTGGTTGTTTGATGATACATGGAGGGGATTGTAACCATGGCAATGAAATGATATACGATAGGATAAATGTAAAACTAATGTTCTCCCATGTAAACTATCACATAATTCACAATAAAACATTAAAAACAAAACAAAAACATGGCATCAAGGTTGGAGGAAGATTCATTAACAACCTGCGATACACGTATTACACAACCTTGCTTGCTGAAAGTGAAGGAAACCTAAGCACTTGCTAATGAAGATCAAAGATTATAGTGTAGTCTTCAAAATCAAAACAAAAATCCCCACTGCTGGACCAATAAGCAACATATTGATAAGCCAATAAAAGGTTAAAATTGTCAAGGATTTCATTTTACCTGGACCCACAATCAACACCCATGGAAACATTGGTCACAAATCAAATGATGTATTGCATTGGCAAAAAATCTGCAGAATAACCTCTTTAAAAAGCAAAATGCCACTTTGAAGACTAAAGTGTGCCTGACCCAAGCCATAGTCTTTTCATTCACTTCATATGCATACTGAAACTGCACAGCGAATAAGGAAATTCAGAGAAGAATCCATACATTTGAATTATGGTGTTGGCAAAGAATGTTGAAAGTACCATGGACTGCCAGAAGAACGAACAAACTTTCACATGCATAAGAGGTTATTGAAAATACCATGGCTTGTGTCAGATAAAGTAGGTCAGCAAAAAAGAGGAAAACCCCCAACAAGATAGATAGACACACTGGCATAGTAGGTTAAGACTTGGAATCCTTAACTGAGTTGTCAGAGGTTGGGACCCACCAGCTGCTTTCTTTGGAGAAAGATGAAGCTGTTGGTTCCCATAAAGATTTAAAGCCCTTGGAATCCCTGCAGAGCAATTCTACTCTGCTGTAGGATCGCTGCGAGTCAGAATCAACTTGGCAGCAGTCAGTAAATTGTCAGTTTTATACTTAAGTATCTCGTCATTTGTAAGTACTTAAACGTTATAATTTCCTAGGTCAGTGGTCTTCAGAGGAACCCTGTGTAACATTGCCCTTTATGAAATACAAGTAGTCATAGTTGTACGGCTGTTAATTTTGGGGCCACTTCCTAGCCCAGTCAGTGCCTTGTACATAGTGGGTGTTTGAATAAAGTGGGTGAAGTAAAAGACGTGTTGAAGTATGAAAATCGCTTAGAAGAGAGAGAAGTCTACATAATCCTCGTGGGTTTCAAGCACTTCGGTTGGCAGAAATGTAGTACTCTTTCTAGGGTGTTAGCATGTTTATCATATGTCTTCTCAACTATTGCCTATGATTTCTTCAATTTAGCTTATTTACAGATGGGTGGATTCTGATTTCATCTTTATTTACAGCTCTGGTTTTGATTGAATTAGTACAGATTGATTTATCCTCTCCATGTTGACTACAATCTTTTCTTTTCCACCTCTTCTGCTTTTTGGAAACTATTGGAACGAAAAATCAATTCATTAGAAGCCTCTTGGAGAGGCCAAGCGATGATACAGGGTGGAGCCAAACGTATGGAGAAAGCCTGAATTTGATTTCTAACCATGTACTTAGGAGATGAGTTAAAGCTATCTAAATCCCATTTTTCTTACCAGTAAAATGAAGAGGAAAAAAAATAGTTTTTTTCACACTATACGGAGAGAAATATAAAATGGCCCTGGGACCTAGGAGTCAGTTTGTGAAAATTCATTCCTTTATCCACTTATCTTTTGTAAAGTCATGTAATAATTGTCAGATCTGTTGTAGAATTGGAGTCCTGGTGTGTTGCTGTGGGTTAATGCGTTGAACTGCAAGGCTGGTGGTTCATGCTCACCAGGCACTCCTCAGAAACCCTACATAGAGTCCACTATGAGTCGGAACCAACACGATGGCACTTAACTGTGGCATTATTGAATGTATGATTTTGTTGTTAAAAAATTTTTTTTTTAATTTCTATCTTCTCAGTTCCTTTTAATTACTAGTTTTCAATAATTTATAGCTTCACCTAAAGAATTCCGTTTTTTTTCATTTCTATCTTCTCAGTTCCTTTTAATTACTAGTTTTCAATAATTTATAGCTTCACCTAAAGAATTCCGTTTCTGGCAAAACATTACTTGCAATTCAAACTGACCTTGTGGTCAGGTGCTTATCCTATGCTCCACACCAGGGCTCCGTGGAATTTCAAGAGTCATTAATTAGAATAAGGAAAGCAACAAATCTAATCCCCAAATCGTATGTGGCATGAATGGAAAAGTTAAAAGTAGAACTTGCATTGTGATTCCAACCCATAGCGACCCTGTATAGGGTTTCCAAGGAGCAGCTGGTGAGCTTGAACTGCTCACCACGAGTACTAAGTGGATGCAAATCATCAGATTCTGCACAGTTAGACCTTTTTCTAAGTACTGTGCTACATTCTAAGGGGCTCTGGTAGCGTAGTGGTTACGAGTCAGGCTGCTAACCCAAAGGTCAGCAGTTCAAAAACACTAGCAGCCGTTCCACAGGAGAAAGATGAGGCGTCTACTCCCATAAAGATTTACAGCCTTGGAAACCCTATGCAGGGTCACTATGAGTCGGAACCAATTCCACGGCACACCACCACCACTGGACTACAATCTGATGCCAAGCATATTTTTAAAGGTTTATGCTTTTAACACCTATTTCCTGTTAACAGGGATAAGTTTCTGTTTCAGATGAGATTTCTGATCATTTTTTGTTTTTGTTGTTGTTTTTTAGCAATCATGGTGAATTTACTTCAGATGGTACGTGACCACTGGGTTCATATACTTGTCCCGGTGGGATTTGTCATTGGATGTTACCTCGACAGAAGGAATGATGAGAAGCTGACTGCCTTCCGGAACAAGAGCTTATTATTTAAAAGGTTAATTCTATATATTTTTTAAAACCATCAATTGACAAGATTAGGGGAGTATTCTTCTTATTATCATGTGTTCCAAAAGTAAACAGAAGACTAATTTTCCCCTCTAAGGACTTATATTTAGGTGGTTTTACCTTTTAATCTTGCTTTGTATCCTTGACTGAAACAGTCCCAGTGTTTGGAATTTAGAACACATGTTAGTTACACTGCTCACTAAAGCCTAGTCTACACACTGCTTTCTTAATTATGCATTGTCTTACTTAGGAAGGAGCCCTGGTACCTTAGTGGATTATGGGGTGAGGTAGGCTACCAACTGCAAGATTGTTAGTTCTAATCTACCAGTGGCTCTGTAGGAGAAACCTGAGGCTTTCTGCTGTATACAGAGTCGGTGTCAGTGGAAACCGACTCTGTGGCACACAGCCCCCACCCCCAGCACCATCTTACTTAGGAAGCTGCCGGTGGCTTAGTGAATTCTGAGCTGGACTGCTTACCCCAAAGTCATTAGTTCGAATGAGCCAGTCACTCCACAGGGGAAAGAGCCTGTAAAGATTGGTTGTTGTCATTGTTAAGTGCTATCAAGCCGGTTCTGACTCATAGCTACCCTATATCGGGTTTCCAAGACTGTAAATCTTTACAGAAGCAGGAAGCCTTATCTTTCTCTCATGGAGCGCCTGACAGGCTCAACTGTCAGACTCTATGGTTCACAGGCCAGTGCTTATCATATGGAGCCAGCCTCGGAAGCCCTACACAGGATTGCTATGAGTCGGAACTGACCACCATCTTACTTAGGAGTCTTGCTGTAGCACTGTGGGGTAAGTGCTGGACCCACCAGGAAGGCACTCCTTGGAATTGCTATAGAGAGTCAATAGGAGTCAGAACTGACGTGACAGCATTTAACAACAACGTTTTATTTAAGCCATTGTTGTTGTTAAGTGCCGTCGAGTCGGTTCCGACCCATATAGGTAGCTGAAATGTTAGGTCCTTTGGAGTTGATTTTTGACTTGTAGGAACCCAGCACTTAACCATTACGCCACCAGGGCTCCTTGTCACTGAAACAAAGAATGTTAAGCAGCCCTGGAGGTACAACAGTTAAAGAGCTCAGCTGCTAACCTAAGGGTTGACAGTTTGAACCCACCCAACACCACTTCAGGAGAAAATCCTAGCAATCTGCCTCTGGAAAGATTAGAGCCAAGTGCTGTACCCTCACGTAGAATGACCAAAGAGTATCTGGCAACTGCTCGGCCCATCTCCCCACTGGCAGCAGTGGGGCTCCACGCTGGGCGGGGGGCGCCCAAGGAGTGCTAGCCACAGGTGACACGGAGAGGTGGTTTGCATGTCGGGGATTTCAAGAAAGGTAAAAAGAGCTGGAATGGTGTAGAAAACATTCAGTGAAATCCCTGAAGGATAATAGCTTTCATATAAAGCTAGCCTAAGCCCTCCTAGTTTTTCATCTGAAAGAACACAGTGAAGATACAGTAAAAGAGTCAAGTCATGAGAGAATTCAATGAACATGCTGACGCCTGTAAAGTGTTAAGTACGGGTCAACTTCAACTGATGGTCTGCTCTATAAACCGTCACTCAATTCACAATAAGAAGGTTTGTCTTCTTTTTTTTTTTTAATTAAATGTTTTTATTTTGGATTGAGTGAAAGTTTACAGGGCACATCATCAGCTTCACATTCAACCTTTCATGACATTGATTATTATCCCCTCCATATATCATCAGTTTACAGTGTTTCTTTCTATCCTCTTTAGCTTTTTTTTTTGGATGGCAGGGGACTTGCCTTTTTGGAATTTACAGTCTCAGCTTTTAGGGAAGGAAGGCTTGTTTTATAGGTCATTTTAATGGAACGAAAAATGTGGAATTCATAATCCTTTGAATTTCCCTTTTCTCTTTGTAAAAATTTTTATTTCTTTTTCCTTTCCACACAGAGAACTGAGATCCAATGAAGAATTTACCTGGAAGTAAAGGCTGTGGCTGAGTTATAAAATGTTCACATTTTTAAAATCATGAGAAAAATAAAAACATGTTTATTACTTGGAAAATCTGAAGTGTGGTTCTTTCATTATTACTTGGAAAACCTGAAGTGTGATTCATTCATTTTCAAATTTCCAGTAACAAGCACATTTTAAACTCCATTCGTCTAAAACATAGTAACTAAGTTTCTAATTGTATGCATTGGTCTTACATTTTCAATTAGCATTTAATTTTCAGTTTTTCATTTTGAACCCTAATATTAAATGGTCACCCCTCCCCACCTCCCAGAACTTCTGCAAGAGAGCTTCAAAAAGTTCTAGGAAAATTCCATTGTATTTTCATTCCATTTTTCTGTGAAATTTTTGAAGCCCCCTCATCATTGCCGAGACTGGTATATTTGTGCAGTGAAAGGCAAACTGGTGAGATTTGCATTTGGGAAACAGCACTGATAGAGCAAGCGTATGGAGAGTGGAGTCAGAAGGCCAATTCGGGGACCTTACACTGGTCTTCACAAGAGTCTCTAAGCTTGAACTGAACTGAACAACGAAGACAAATGGGAGACAGGTGGGAGCACAGCATCTGGGCACGGACTGGACTAAGTCAAGGAGGGAGAGGATCAGTTCCCAGCAGGCCTCCTAAATTCATTCAACAGACACAGACACTGAAGACAACCAAGCCAAGCGTGAGAATGCTGTATGACAGGGACTATGTACAATAGAAACCTGTACAGGAGGTCAAAGGAGGGATCAAGCCCACTCAGACTCAGTGACCCTCCAGGACACAGTAAAACTGCTCCACTGGGTTTCGGTAAAAATCTCCAGAAGCTGCCAGCCTCATCTTTCTCCCGCAGAGCTGCTAGAAGGTTCCAACCACAGACTTTTCAATTAGTAGCCCAACATTAATCCACTGCATTACCAGGACTCCTTCAGACAAGGGAACCAAACCTACTGTCATCTAGTCGATTCTGACACAGACCCCATAGGACAGAGTAGGGTTACCAAGAAGAGACTAAATCTTTATGGAAGCAGGTGGGTTTGAAGTGCTGACCTTGCAATTCAAACTGACCTTGTGGTCAGGTGCTTATCCTATGCTCCACACCAGGGCTCCGTGGAATTTCAAGAGTCATTAATTAGAATAAGGAAAGCAACAAATCTAATCCCCAAATCGTATGTGGCATGAATGGAAAAGTTAAAAGTAGAACTTGCATTGTGATTCACAAGCATTGATCATTTTTTTACTATCTGATGCTTATCATTAGTCACAAGGCCAGGTCTAACGAAATGATGAACATCGACTCACTATTTAGTGCCTTCTGGCCAGGCACTGATCTAGATTGTTAGGATTTAACAGTGAGGAAGACAATAAGGTTCTTTATATGTCGTTAAGTGACTTCATAAGAAGACTTTGTTGTTGTTAAGTGCTGTCGAGTTGGTTCTGACCCATAACGACCCTGTACAGGGTTTTCAAGGCTGTAAATCTTTACGGGAGCAGAAAACCTCATCTTTCTCCCGCGGAGTGGCTGGTAGTTTTGAACTGCTGACCTTGCGGTTCACAACCCGATTCGTAACCACTATGCTACCAGA